AAAGAACACCCTTCGGAGATCAATACTGGGAATGCGCAAATGTCCTCCAGCAAGAAAGATCTCAGGGCATCATGGGGGTGATCATGTGTCACAGAGGGCAGGGGCACCTGTAATGCATAAAATAAAGGCATGGCTTATTTGTGAGGAGAGCGTGACGCATGACATCCATGGTTGCGAGGAAGGACAAGAGAAAGTGGAAGGGGGAAACAAGAGAGCCAGACCCATGCCTCTTGCAAATAAGCGACCTGTGAAATGAGGTCATGAGGGTTGGCGACTTCTAACCTCATCATCAACCTAACATCGGAGCGTCAGAGAAGCTTTCCGAGATAATAAAAATATTGCAAAAAAGTTAGAATACAACGCACGCAAGGAACTGCACTCATGTATTATTGAAGGAAACTTATTGATTGCAAACTTTAAATTTTTATGAGAAAGGCAAATCTGGTAATTCAACATCTGCTTGGTTTTGAAAGCATTTAATTTAACCCTAGGACTGCTCAGAGTCCATAAAATGAACTTATAGACAATCTAGGCTTATGCATGGGGTATTCCAAGGATTAGATTTCCTGAAATCGATAAGCTGTAGCAGAACAGCGGAAAAGGGAGAAAGATGGTCAGCTCCTTCTCGCCTGAACCACCTACCATTCCCAAGCCCACCGTCTCTTCTATTTCCTTCTATCCTCCTCCACCTTCCCCTCTTTTATTTCACCCTCTCCCACAATAATTTGTCTCTACGCCTATGACGGTGTACTGAAAGGAGCCCCACTACTCTATCGATCACTGCAAAAAGGCACAAAACCAACCTTTTTTTAAATATCGAGTTTAGTATCAGAGTAGGGGTTTTCGAGGAATATTGAATTTATCGACGCAAAGCATGAAGAGATATTTCACTGCTAAAGCTCATGCGAAACGCACCAAATGCACCCAGGAAACCAAAACAGTATTAATTTTTGCATCCCCTGCTTTCGCGCATTTCGTGAGTTCTTGTTCTGATGGACTTTACTGGACTGGGCCGAATGAGCTTCACTTCTTTAAATTTCTTTGTCATGGGTCTCCATGGAAAAGTACGGTCTTTTGCGGATGCGGTCGAAGGTTTTTGGCTCAATGCATCGTTCGCCCCTCAGAGAGATACCGGAAGACGTGAGGAGGTTTCTACTGAGGATACCTGTATCTCTTGACCGGCTTATAGTCGGTATTATTGTCTATCCACAAGTGGAAGCCTAAAAATTAAAGCAAGAACAAGGTTCTGCATCCATTTCTGCCATTTTATGCAGGATTCTAGGTATCAGTTTTGACGTTTGAACAAACACTGAGACAAAGAATATGCCAACTGAATGGAACTTGAGATGCTTTCTGCCTCGGCATCACAAATTGGAGGAAAGCTTTAAACAAGAATTCCTTGGAAGAAGTACATGAGGCTCTTTTTCACCAAGAGGACCTGTTCAATACCAGAAACGCCATACAGAAACGGAATATGAGCATATTTCTGACTTTTCTTAAAAATGTGGTGTGCTGTGGACTTCTGACATAGTGACTAGAATCTCCCCTATCTCTATGTCCACCGTAGTCACATTGGGGCCTCACTTCAAAGGACCTCTCAGTTCAATATCGGTAATTAGCAGGTATACTTTGCAAGATGACGAAAGATGAGAAAGAATGAAAAAAGATTCCCTGAGATGAGGAATGGATCTGAAAGCTCTCAAGATATTGAGGATCAGATTGGGAAGAGGATGATGAATCTGGCTTCCTTGCCTTTATGAACGCCTTCCGGGCGCAGATTTCTGGGTATACCTTTTTCATCTAGATAATCGAAGCTCAGAGGGAAGGAGGGAGGGGGGGGGGAAAGGCCATGGGAAAGATCATGATTCATCCATTAATCTAATAGGGTGGAAGTGGAGGCCCCAAGGGGACCCGAGCAAGTCCCGTTCCCGTGTTCCTCTAACATTACGTTATGATGAGGAATGACAGTTGGAGTCGGGTATGGCGGAAGGGGGGGTATGCAGTGCAGGGTCTATTATTATGCATGTGTCTTGTGCATTGCGTCACGCAACACCCATGCCAGGAGGGGCAAGGCGTCAATTATCGGCTTGAAAACCATGCATAACCCCTATATCATTGCTCCATCGATTCCTGCACGGGAAATCCGAGGATATCATATAAGATGCACGCAACGTGTTTCATTCGGAGCCATGTCGTGATCTCCTAATGGTCGTTCGTTTCTCACTTAACGTCTCTTTTATGCCTCCCACAGGTTCCAACGGGAGCTGGCAGATTTGGTGGACTTATGATGGGATATCAGGTGAGCGGAGGTTCCCCTTTCGGGTGATCCTGCATAATGTATACCGTATACGGATGAACCTCGGGTCTTTTAATCATGCATGATGAATCATCGTCATCACGTGCTTCTTCCTCTCCTCCATCCCCTCATTCATCTTATTGTTCCTCATTTTCAGCCTCATTCTGAATGCTTAGCCTAGTGCCTCGAGCAGAGTGAGTTGTTAGACCTTTTAGAGGCAACAGACAAAGGACAGAACGGGCCTGTCAGATTAAGCACAAAACCGTAGCAATCGGTGAAGAAAGGCAGCCTGCCATGCGATTCTGCCCGGTGGACCACCGAGCAAGGCGTTCGGCAGGTATAAGGAGGAACACGGAAGCAAGTTGCCTAAGTTCACTCGAGCAGGGGCATTCGTTTCCATGGTAGCTTGAAATAATGTGAACATGCACTGAGAATAATGGTGATAATANTTTCCTGAAATCGATAAGCTGTAGCAGAACAGCGGAAAAGGGAGAAAGATGGTCAGCTCCTTCTCGCCTGAACCACCTACCATTCCCAAGCCCACCGTCTCTTCTATTTCCTTCTATCCTCCTCCACCTTCCCCTCTTTTATTTCACCCTCTCCCACAATATTTTGTCTCTACGCCTATGACGGTGTACTGAAAGGAGCCCCACTACTCTATCGATCACTGCAAAAAGGCACAAAAACAACCTTTTTTTTTAAATATCGAGTTTAGTATCAGAGTAGGGGTTTTCGAGGAAGATGAATTGATCGACGCAGAGCATGAAGAGATATTCCACTGTTAAAGTGATTTTAAAGCTCATGCGAAACGCACCAAATGCACCCAGGAAACCAAAACAGTATTAATTTTTGCATCCCATGCTTTCGCGCATTTCGTGAGTTCTTGTTCTGATGGACTTTACTGAACTGGGCCGAATGAGCTTCACTTCTTTAAATTTCTTTGTCATGGGTCTCCATGAAAAAGTACGGTCTATTTGCGGGTGCGGTCGAAGGTTTTTGGCTCAATGCATCGTTCTGGGAGATCCTATTCGCCCCTCAGAGAGGTACCGGAAGACGTGAAGAGGTTTCTATTGAGGATACCTGTATCTCTTGACCTGCTTATAGTTGGTATTATTGTCTATCTACAAGTGGAAGCCTAAAAATTAAAGCAAGAACAAGGTTTTGCATCCATTTCTGCCATTTTATGCAGGATTCTAGGTATCAGTTTTGACGTTTGAACAAACATTGAGACAAAGAATATGCCAACTGAATGGAACTTGAGATGCTTTCTGCCTCGGCATCACAAATTGGAGGAAAGCTTTAAACAATAATTCCTTGGAAGAAGTACATGAGGCTCTTTTTCACCAGTTCAATACCAGAAACGCCATACAGAAACGGAATGAGCATATTTCTGACTTTTCTTAAAAATGTGGTGTGCTGTGGACTTCTGACATAGTGACTAGAATCTCCCCTATCTCTAAGTCCACCGTAGTTACATTGGGGCCTCACTTCAAAGGACCTCTCAGTTCACTATCGGTAATTAGCAGGTATACTTTGCAAGATGACGAAAGATGAGAAAGAATAAAAAACGATTTCCTGAGATGAGGAATGGATCTGAAAGCTCTCAAGATATTGAGGATCAGATTGGAAAGAGGATGATGAATCTGGCTTCCTTGCCTTCATGAACGCCTTCCGGGCGCAGATTTCTGGGTATACCTTTTTCATCTAGATAATCGAAGCTCAGAGGGAAGGAGGGAGGGGGGGAAAGGCCATGGGAAAGATCATGATTCATCCATTAATCTAATAGGGTGGAAGTGGAGGCCCCAAGGGGACCCGAGCAAGTCCCGTTCCCGTGTTCCTCTAACATTACGTTATGATGAGGAATGACGGTTGGAGTCGGGTATGGCGGAAGGGGGGGTATGCAGTGCAGGGTCTATTATTATGCATGTGTCTTGTGCATTGCGTCACGCAACACCCATGCCAGGAGGGGCAAGGCGTCAATTATCGGCTTGAAAACCATGCATAACCCCTATATCATTGCTCCATCGATTCCTGCACGGGAAATCCGAGGATATCATATAAGATGCACGCAACGTGTTTCATTCGGAGCCATGTCGTGATCTCCTAATGGTCGTTCGTTTCTCACTTAACGTCTCTTTTATGCCTCCCACAGGTTCCAACGGGAGCTGGCAGATTTGGTGGACTTATGATGGGATATCAGGTGAGCGGAGGTTCCCCTTTCGGGTGATCCTGCATAATGTATACCGTATACGGATGAACCTCGGGTCTTTTAATCATGCATGATGAATCATCGTCATCACGTGGTTCTTCCTCTCCTCCATCCCCTCATTCATCTTATTGTTCCTCATTTTCAGCCTCATTCTGAATGCTTAGCCTAGTGCCTCGAGTAGAGTGAGTTGTTAGACCTTTTAGAGGCAACAGACAAAGGACAGAACGGGCCTGTCAGATTAAGCACAAAACCGTAGCAATCGGTGAAGAAAGGCAGCCTGCCATGCGATTCTGCCCGGTGGACCACCGAGCAAGGCGTTCGGCAGGTATAAGGAGGAACACGGAAGCAAGTTGCCTAAGTTCACTCGAGCAGGGGCATTCGTTTCCATGGTAGCTTGAAATAATGTGAACATGCACTGAGAATAATGGTGATAATACGTAATTGAAGTGTTAGAGGGGGGAAGGCAGACAAAAGAGATGGAACAAGGCGTTTGACCTTCCAGATAATCATCAGCAAAAGCGACTCTTAAGGTTAAAGAAAACAATTTCTTTTGAAAACATGGTTAACAAAAAAATAATAAGCTGATATGGGTTCGAATGCAAAATCTTACCACGATCAACACAAACTATTTTGTTTAGCCGAGCACAGAGAGACAACACACAGGCACGACAGAATAATGTGGCATTTCCTTTTTGAAAGGAGGGCCAATAAAGAAGACCAAATTTAAAAAAAAATTGAAGGACCAGGTTGGCCGTGAATATGGATCCAGATATTCTCCTGTAACCATGGGCATGAAATGAAATTAGTACATACATACAGAATAGAGTGAACTGAAGCAAGAGATAAGCGACCAAGAGAGAGAAGAAGGTTGGATGATTGAAAGCTTGAGTGGTTTCCTCGAGCTCATTTCGCATCTCTTGACCCTTTTCCTCCTCCTCCACTAGACACCAATGACCCTTTCCAATATAATCCCCAGGCCCAGACTTTTGGGGTCGGTTGAATCCTGAATGGAGTCTTTGTCACAAAGGGAAGCACCAAAGTCCCATCGACATCAACCCCGAGAAACTCCTCTACGATCCTCAATTGACCGAGATTCATATTGACAAGCATAGAGTGAGGAACTCGCATTCTTCATCTCTCCTTTTCAAGGAACCGATTTACATATGAATGGGAATTTCCTGGTTTGCCAAATGATGTAGGTAAGTGGATTGCTGGAGAACACGGGTCAGAGCCTAGTTTTCCGGATTCCGCAAGATCAGAAGCCATCCTTAAATATTTCGGGAGGACCACTGACTTACCGATATCGATTTCAAGAACTCCACATTCATTATGGGAACGAGAATGACATGGGTTCTGAGCATCGAATCAACGGACTACCTTTCCCAGCCGAGGTGAGGCTTCCTCTCTTTTCCATCGATCAATCGAACGTGTATAGCGAGTGTCTCTTTGTGTGTCAATAATCAACGAATGCGGTAATGATGGGGGGAGACAGAGAAGGGGCGGGGGGAAAAGGACCGGATGGGAGGGACAAATCACATCATTCCATTATCTCTCTGATGAGCTTAACAAGTTCAGGCTCCCAAGATCAAAGATGAAGGAGAAATCTGAATCTCCCCTTTCCTCTCTCTTTAACTTTATATCATGCTCTAGATTCAACTGTACGGCTTCAATTCAGACCTCTATCACAACATGTCTGAGGCAAGGCACAAATCTCAGGGGATCGTCGGCGTTGCCATTCTCGTCCAGGTCTGGTTCCCACTTCACATAGCCATGACATTATGCAAATATGTAAGTTAATCTTTCTACATTACCTCTGACCAGGTCGGGGATAAATCGAACGAGGAATTGAGGATCTTGACCAGTTCTTTCAATAAGGTCATCTTTCGAGGTGAGCCGAGATTTCGGAAAGAAAAATGTTATTCTTAGAATATCGAAGGGAACTGCATGACTTCGAGATTGAATGACTGATATAGGTCAGAAGGCAAAGGTGCATCATTTGAACATAAGGCAGCTCCTTCCAGACACAGAGAAATACATGACGTACGAGGGATCTACAACCTATCCTGGGTGTTGGGAGACCACCACCTGGGTTATCTTCAATAAACCCATCTACATGACTCGACAGGAGGTATCGGGTCTATCATTGTCTTTCCCTTCCATTATTTGCATTCGTTCACATTCCTCTATCCCCATGTAGATGTATGCCCTGAGGAAGGTGATGCAGGGAGACGAGGAGTTGCCAAAAGCTCCTCTAGGAAACAATGTTCGTCCCTTGCAACCTTTGCATCATAGGACGGTGAGGACAAATATAGACTTCCTCTGGTCATCTCCTTCCATAAACTGCCCTACCATGACACCCAAGACTTCCTATAAAGGTATAGTATATTTGACCACCAACAACGTGAATACTTTCATTTGAATCGATAAGACACGATGAATGCATTTTTTTTCCAGCTAACACGCCTTGGGCGTCTCCATGACGAGAACGGAGCAAGAGATCACTTTCTTGGTGCTATAGGAAGTTGGAAAAATGATCATCTTACACCACACGGACGACCCATCATATCATGCTTCTTTCCACTCTGTCTTTAGATATGTCGATGCAATAACCAAAGCCTAAAAAAGACCTGGTCTAAACATCATTTCTGAATGGCTGAAAAGACAGACGAGGGTGGAAAGGAACGAGGCGGGCTAGAAACCAAGAGGCCATGTTCACAGAGACAGGATAAAAAGGGGATGGTGGTGGGTTATCCCTCTTCGTGACATGAAGGGAGAGCTTCCTCTTTTACCACGCATTTTCTCTTCACCTTAATTGATGTACCCTCGTCCATTATCCAAGACACATGGGGGGCATGTGGATCATCATCCATCCACCTGCAACCTCCAATTACAGCCCGTCCTAAGCTCTGTTCCCTTCCATTCACTCCTGGCATACAATAGACCGAGGAAGAAGACGTCGAGATGTCGACCTTATCTCAGGTGAATTTCCTCCCCTCTTCTACCTTCACGCCTCTTTTCCCATTGTCCAGGCTTGCAATATCGAGGGCGAATCGAGCAAGCAAGGACAAGAGGAGGAAAAAAGGAAAAAAAGAGGAAGAGAGATTGGCAGGGTTCCCATGCGTGGTGTTAGCCCGTGATAGGAACATATTCCCACATCCACGTGCTTCCCTCGCAGTGCAATCCCAATCACACGAATGGGAACGTCGGCATCGGCTCCATCTCGATCAACTTTCCTGTTACTTTTCCTCGCCCTCGTAGCATGAATACAAAGCGCCTCATTCCTCGCTTGGAATCCATCGGCTCTGTTCCGATGGAGCTGGTGAAGGAGAAAAAGTTGAGCAATACTCTGCGAAACAGCCGGAATAGGGAATAACGCAGAAGGAAGTAGGATGAGAGGGGGGAAAAAATAGAGTCGTCAACCGTAGGCCGGGGCCACAAAGGGAGATCATTAGAATTACTGGCTTTATCAGCAGGAATGCCTCTATTCATGGGGAGACTCGTTAACGCCTGTCGAAGTGCAGAAGGAAGAAAGAAGGTAGAAATTGGAGGGAATGTTTATTCACATATTCAACATGCCCGGTAAAGTATGTTATATAGAATGAGCATACGGAGGCCTGTTCCGAACGAGGAGTCTTCCTATCCCAGGAAGTACCACAGTGATTTTACTTTCTATTTGTAACACCTTTGGTATCGCCGGTGACAACTATATGGACAGTAGGAAAATACAACCCAATGAGTTAATATTGACCAACAGTCAAGAGGATACGAATTAGCTAGCATTGACCGATGGTAAAGGTGGGGCAATTTGAAAGCAGAATTCCCGTACTAGCTGTTTCATTTTCCGATTTCAAATCAACAATCATGGGACAGGATGATGTCCGTGTGCACAGTTACGTCATTCGCCTAAGAACTTCATTGAAAGAGTGAGTTTGAATCCCTGAACCACAACCATAATCATCATTTTTCGCCAGATCGCATTCGGGGAATGAGATTCTGTACAAGGAGTGCTGGGAAAGATGCATTCATGAATGATGAATGCCACGAAAGCTGATTGCATCCTTGTTCCTCTTGAAGAAATATAAAGAAAAAGGAACGAAACACTGAAAATTGAATATTGAAGAAGTAAAACAGATGTTCTTCCTCCGCGAAAGCTTTAAAGAGAATTTCCATTTCTTCGTGTATAATCGAGCCGAGGGAGATGCAAAGGAGGGAAAGGAGGGATGGAGGAAGGTGTTTGTGTGGCATCATTATTGGGAATCGATGTTCCGGACTGACACGAGGGAAGTGTTCATCACAAACCAACACCTGACTCCTGTTCTCACGACATACGAGGTTAGCCTCCCTCCCGAGACGAGTTACGAATCCATCAGGGGGAGAAAATCTTGGGATCCGGAAAAACACCGTATGGATCTAAAACTGGGCTGGGGATGGCCACCGGATCGATCCTAATCAGGTAAAGATTCTTGCATGGAGGGGATACTGATGCTGATTCCCGCCCTATCGAGACTCCAATCTCGTCCTGGCTGACCAGATCCCTTTGAAAAGCTTCTTCCCCCATTCTATAAATGTTTCAGTTCGCAACATGATGACCGCCTCAGGTGCGTTATGTCTCTTGCCAACAGAGCTGGGAAAAATACAAGTGATTGAGTGTTTAAATACAAAATATAAATGCCCATGAAAAAATGCATTGTAAATACAAAATATGTATTTTAAAATACAATTGAAAATAAAATAATACAATTTTCAAGCTTACATCGTGCCTTTCAGATTTTGTCCAAAATCAGGAACCTTTCAGAAGTTCTGAACATAGCCTGAGCAAGGCATTCTTTCCGTTTTCCTTTCTGAATCCCAGACTGCTCCTCCTTATACCATTCATAATCCACAAGAGATCTGAATGTAGCCTCTGAAAGCAAAGAACATAAATATTAACCTGCATTGGCAAGATTCGAGCTTGCACAAGGCCTAGATCTAAAGATGGTCAATATATCACAAATCAAAAACCTTGCCTGGGCCAAGGCGTATCCCGTCAATATGTCGAAAACACACACGTCGATTGTCCGATTGTCGATTACCAACTATGTCGAATTCCTAAACGTCGAATGAATGAAATGTTGAAAGCCAAAATGTCGAGATAGAGAAAAGTCGAAATGATAATGCGACAAAGATATTGCAACACAATCAACCTTCAAATGTACGAAGAAGTAGAATTTTGCAGTTAGATTTCCACTGATAGCTTTCTCTGTAGATCATGCAGCACATTTGACCTTGACCCTCTACCCCTCTCGCTCAAAAATATGGAAGAACTTCCCATTCGATATAGAAGGCAAGCTTTCTGAGGTAGTCATGCGTGAAGTTGCACTGAACCAATTAAAAAAAGTACAAGGTGTCCATAAAGTGACTTCCTATGGCCAACTGAATATTTACTGAATCTGGGGGAACCAACTTTTTAATTTTTGCAGACTGTTTATCATTAGACCTCGGAATGGTGTCACATCTTTTTTTCCTACACTCTAGTGTGACTGAGAATTCATTTACCAAACTCTGCTTTCAAAAACAGTTTCAGACATATGGGGTGTAGCATTCTGAATTGTCAGCCAGGGCAAATGTCCTCCAAGATTTCCGGATTTCGACTACTTGTGACTTTTCTTCCCTCTGGGGCTACTTAAAAGGCATTGTTTACAAGGACACACCTATTGATTTCGAACAACTTGAAAGAGAACATTTCTCATGTCATTTACCAGAAAAGTGACTGAATTATCATGGATGTTGCCGACAATGCAATTGCCAGGGCTCAGAAATGTCTAGAAATCGGCAGTGGGCACATTGAGCTAATTTGTTTGATAAATTCCTAATTTTTATGATTTTGGATTTCCAAAACGCTCCCTTACTCAAGCAATACCGTGATAACTGCAAGAAGTTGTTGCAATGAGGTCGAAGGGCAAAATTTTTCTCGAATTTGGTCTGACTTTCTTTCCATTCAAATGAATGAAAAAATCGTAAAACACCAGACGTGGGAAATTAATTATTGGTTGTATCAAAATGAAAGGAGAAAAGATCTGACACTATTCCGAGGTCGGTACGTTGTCAGTCTACAAAAGTAAAAAAAAAAATAGCTACTTCAGAGTCAATCATAAAAAAGTCGCCCACAGGTACTTTATGGACACTGTATTTTAAATTTTGTCAAATGTACTTTAAAATACTTTATTTTTTTTGCAGAGAACTGTATTTAAAATACATAACACAAATGCATATTGTGACATGCATTTAAATGCAAAATACCTGAAATGTATTGAAATGAGTATTTTAAATACAATTATTTTAAATACTGCCCACCTCTGCTTGCCAAGACCACTATTGTATGAGAGAGTGCTGTTCTCATAATTCCAACTAACCCGCATCGAAATGCTTTCTTTAAAACTATAGCATCATATACTATGACCTCGATTCAATTAATGTGGTTCCCTTTACGTGAGGATTCAGAGCGAGAAAGAAAACCCGCGGAGCAAAAATAGAGGGAATTTTTTCCCTCTCTGGTTCTCTATATCTCATTTTCTGTCTTCTTCATTCAGAGAAGAGTGGTGTCTCATCATTAGAGAGAAAAGAAGAATGGGATGTCAAGTGAGATGGGCTGGAGCTTTCAATGAACCCCTCTCTCTCTCTCTCTCTCCCCCCCCCCTCCAATTTGCACTCAAATGAGCCAGAGACAGCTGACATCTGACCGAGTCTATGCAAATTATCTCCTTTCAAATAGCACAGGCAGCGGCGAAGCCAGGGGGAAGGGGGTAAGGCCCAACTGCCGTTACACAAGGGTGCTGCCACCTCTCGCGAAATGACGTGCGTTCTTTCGGTATTTGAGCGAGAAATACAGCCAATTATTTACTTTTATTTATTCATGTCTTTCGTTTTATTTATCAAATCATGGGTCATTTCGACTAGGAAATATTTTTATTCGCAGCCTTTGGTCGCAATTCTATATTTTTAGATTTCATCGAATCTAAAATATAAAATTTTACGTTTATTTTGCATCCTCTAGTTCTTCGTTTTCGTGAACGAATCAGCCCCTGCCCCCTTTAGAGTCTCTCTATAATAAAAAAAATTAGACCCTGCTACGCCACTGGACACGGCAAATATTGGTATGTTGTGTGGAAAGGCATAACGAGGGATAATGAGGAAGGAAACAGACCGGGGAACAATCATGGTCACGCAGTCATGTCATGCCAAGTCATGTCATCTCGGGCAGCTCTTCGTCTCCTCAATCCATCATGAACGGGACTCTCACGTGCCACATCCTCAGGAGATTACTACATGTTCAAGGGAAAGGGAAGCTCAGTCGAGGCATCCATCGCGAGGAATGGAGCTGAACATCGAGGAGGTCAGGGGGATGAGATCATCAAAGAATCATGCGAATACTGACACCGCACCGGAGGGATTCCATCTTGAAATATGAATGCTGGGAGTGGCTCATATATTAAATAAGCTCGTATCTCCTGTCTATGGAGTCTATTAATGCGCTCAGGCAATGTCCCTCGAAAGAAATCAATGCTCTGCAACTTTCCACCCTGGAATCTGCAATGGCATTCGGCCACTTACATTCGAGGTTCCCGGCAATACAAACTCGAAAGGTACACACGACTGCGATATCAGGAGACTCCCACTCTGCCACTAGGAATTCATATGCATGTAACCAGGGGAGCATTAGCATAGAGATGAACTGTAAATCTCATTCCTCTCGCCACCCTCCAGGGTATCGCAGACACTTATTTCCTTTCGATATACAACTGCTCCTTTCATCTCCTTCAATTCAACACTGCATATTACTGGCTACAAGTAAGCTTACTGAAAAACTACAATTTGTAGTCCAAAATACGCTTGTTACTCAACCTTATACCGGTACGCGTGCGAATGTTTCGTTGGTCTGCTCATCATCTTGTCGCTCTACCTACTATAGTGCGGATGTTTACCTTCGACGTTACACGAGGTAACCAGTTCGTAAAATTGTATGCCTTGCAGAGGCAAATTCTTGCTAAGTCAATTATCAAAACTTCACAATGCGCAGCAATTTACACCATGCTTATAATTTTTTTGGAGTATCTGTATTTACGCATGAATGAGCTGTTCCTGATAAGCTGTCGAGTCCTACTCGACATATCATAATGAGATTTATAAAAATTTAAATACGTATCATGAGCGCAGCGATCGATCTCGAGAGCATGAGACGAAAACGAGATCGGCATCGGATTTTCACTCGCTGAAGAGGATGAAGAAACGATAGCCACCGGCAGGACGAATCCAGACCGCCGTAATTCATTCCTCGATGAACGATTTGAATATGAATGGAGAAAAACTAGATGATGGGATCGAAGCGGAAAGGGAGAGAGGAGGGAGAGGGAGGAAGCGGGAGATCCTGCTCTCCGCTCGCGACTACAAACACTCGGTGCCGATGCGTCTAAAACATGCCGCGACAAAAAAACCTATATTATACACACGAAACTAAAGTTTACGACATTATAATTGGAGGACTGTAAGGAAATCTGGTCTATCTGCAAAACGTCTCACGTCAAAAGGAAGCCGCAATGAAAGCGCCGACAAAAAGAGCTCGGTCAAAAAAGGCGCCCGTCAAAGAGAGTGCGGGCGATAAAAGCGTGAAGAAAAAGGCGCTTGGGAAACAGAGTTCGGCAAAATCTCATCGGGCGAAGTCTCATCGCATTACGTAAGTTACATACACGGGTTCGTTTGCAGTCACTGCTAAGTCGCAGTCAAGGTCATCTCAAAGTCGCAGGTGCTGCTTTCATAGGCGCCGTCCTTATTTGCTGCGCTATTCAGCACAGTGGCGGCATTTGATAAAAAAAAGTCGGTATGAACATGGGATGTAGGCAATCATAGGCTCGTAGGCTCATTTGTAGGCAATCGGTATCAGAAAGAAGAAAATTCTCCTTTGAGAGAATTCCCGAAGCATATATGCAGTACTAGGTGCACACAAAGTCTGAGCGAACCGGAGTGAATGAAATTAATTTCCAATTGTGTACTCTATTTTACACATGCATACATCCACACAAGCTTACACCTCATCTTTCCTCATTTCCAAAAAAATCCCAGAAAAAGTCTGAAAACCATCCCTGGAAATTTGACTTAAATCCCCCCAATTCTAGAATTAGAAGGTGAAGCTGCATTTTCCAACAGGAAATAATTCTCTAGCTTTTGAGACAAACCATCTAGGAAAAATCACCTCTACGGGGAGGAGACCACTTTTTTACTTCCACGAAGCTCTTCCGGGATCTTCCTCGATAAATTCTAGCACTCCCCAGAGATGACTCGCAACACCGGCGATTCATTCGCCATCACTCCTCACTCCTGGAAACCTTGTTTGTTCGAGCAAATGCCAGATGGCAGGGCTGCAGCTCAATCTTTTCTTACCCATTATCAAACCTATAACTCTTGACCTTGTGCACCGATTGGATCGAGCCTTTAGATATATTTCTTTCATCAGTTGATGTCTGTTCAACGGTACCCATGACGGCAGAAGACGCAATAGGCAACTTTCATCTTCAATTCCAAATTTTTTTTTTCGCGAAAATAAGGAAAACGGTACATCGGATTAAAGTTTTGTCCCTAGAGAAAGAGAGAAAGATTAAACCTCGGATGCTAAGGAATGAGTGCGAAAAAATTTTCAGAGCTTCATAGGTTGTAAGTCTTTCTTGTCATTTCATGGCAATGGCAAATACGAGTATATGTAAATATTGAAGAAAAACCCAAACACTTTCTAATGCAATCCAAGACGTTACAGAGGTCACTCTGTAACATCTCGATCTTTGTAGGTGTAGGTGTGATTTAGCTTGCACTGAATGAACTTTTTGAGGAAAATCCTTGGCATGTGTCTTTATTGCTGACGCTCTTTTCGACTTCTGCCTTTTTTGCCACACTTTTATTTATTTTTTTTTATCCCCACCTTTGTTGGCCACGTTCTTATTGTCCGGCGCCTTTCTGATCGCGCTTTTTGCGTCAGCACCTTTTGTATCATGAAACCATTGCAAAAATGTCCGAGAAACTGAAAGTTAGTCTAATGCACATGGTTCCATTACCCTCTCATTGAAAATAGTTGATGTTTAGTGAGAAATTGATCCACCTACACACACTTTTACTCGCTAATTAAGACTGTCACTAGAACATAGATCCATTGGAGCTTGAAAACGACTTTTTTTTTGCAGATAGACAAGTTCTCTTTTTGGCCCTTCAATTGTAATCCTCCTGGTCTGGCCTTAACCGCTTCTCGGAGGAGCAAATTGCTCGTACTCGCGTCTCCCACTTCTTCGCGGAGGACTGATTGGATTATCTTTGCCCCGTGGATGCGAATCCTCCCCCGGTGAAGAGAGGAAGAGGATATAAGTGCATGCAAAAACTTGCTCATTGCTGCTCGTTTTCTAAGTTGTATTGAAAGTGAGGCGTTCCCGATCATTCAACCTATGCTCATTCAACCGCGGCTGTGCAAACGTAATTTCGGTAGCTAACATACCGGCTTACTCAGCAGGTAGAACTGCGTGAACAAGATGGTTACGACCAGTGAAGGAGAGACCATCTTCGAATTTTACGGGATTCTCGACGTGGTGATGACTAGTAGCTCATGTGAGTCATCATTTAGCGGGTGAAACTGAACAAGAGGACTCGCAGATGCTTCACTCACGTCATTACCAATAACGACTGTTTTCCTTCTTAAAATTAACCAGTTGTCAGTCTACCTAGAGGTAACGCTACAATGGCTCCATGAAAAACACTCAGGCGACTTTACAGCATAGGGACCAAGGAGGATTCATGATTTTAGAAACGTACCCAATGTGACGAAAAAAGTTGGGATTCATCCCAACAGGATGAATATAGTGAAAATGGATAATGGTCTCGGACAGGAATCGAGTAGCCGTCATCGTCCGTACTTGTTTCTTTTTGGGCTAATGCTCAGTAGGCCAGGAAATAAAGCTTCCCTAGCCCTCAGTCATCAGTCGCTCTAAGGTACTTCAGTCAAAAATAAAACTTGCAGGGAGGAAAGCTTGGATCCAGGGCCGGATTAAGGGGGGGAGGGAAAGGGGCTGTTACCCCGGGCCCCACTCTTCAGGGGGCTCCCCGAAGGAAATTAAAAACGTTAAGTATTTGTGTTAAGTAGGGGGGGGGGGGAAGGGAACCCCAGAATCCACTTTCCCCGGGTCTCGTAACTTCCGGTCCTGCTTGGATCTAAATGTCAAGATTCAAGATTCAAGACAGTGATATCAAGAGGCGATTTCGCCCATTTCGATATCACGTGTCGAGGTCGAGCGTTCCTTAATTTTAGGGTAGGCCTAACCCTCTTAAAGCTAAATATATATATATTCGCAAGGCTCGTCATGAATTTCGGTCGCAAGGCTGGTCGAGCCAATTGATAGCTAACAGTGGTGCTGGCAGTCGGACTCAAGCCGGGGGTGCCTCTGAAAATCTGGGTACTACCTTCCACTCATTTAAATTCATAGCTTCAGCGCCTAACGGCAGAAACGGTCTGGATAGGATGTCGTGCTAGGCTTGCAGCCTCAACCCCCTGACGACGCAGGCTGCATGACAGTTTCTAGGATATTTTTCTTCACTGTCCTTCCTCTTTTAGCTTCCTTCGGCCTCGCCCCTTCTCTGCAGGCTAATCTCCCATAGCTCGGACAATCTCTGTCAGGTTTTGGTTCGGGAGCGGGGTTCCTTCCCCCATGCCTAGATCGGTCTGGGTGGGACTGGCACCATTGTGACCATGGGAACGTATTCCCGATGGAGATCTACTCCCCCCTATGCAGGCGGGCNTTTCTCGTATGATAGTCCCCTGACCTCCTTAATCATTCTTGTGGCCCTCCTCTGTACTCCCTCGAGCGCCAACAAATCGCCCTTATTTGTAGGCCTCCAAAATTGGATGCAATATTCCAACTCGGGTCTTAGCGCCGCATACAACGGAAGAATAACGCGAGATGTCCTACTTGCAACCGACCGACGAATGTAACATTCGAAGACTGGCGTCTAACGGCTCATAACTTAGCACTCAACAGACCTGCAATTCTCAGGAAAAAGCTCGACGTGAATTTGATATTGTAAAAGGATCTACAGTTACTTAGCATTCTTTCGCATCCAGTGGTGTACGCAAGATTTCAGGGAGGGGGAGGGGGTTACCGGGGGCCAAGGGGGGTGAAACTCTGAGCCTCCTCTCTTTCCCACCCCTTGCATACGTTACGGTCCACAACACTGGATACCAGATCTGTGGAATCATAACAAATATGTTGTGAAATATGAAGTTGGTCATAAAGGTTTCGAGTGGTCTCAATTTCTCTTCATTTAACGGTGATAATAGGTAAGCACTTCTCAGTCCAATTTGTAGCAGTGAAATTCTATGCAAATTTCCGATAACACAATCAAATTCACAATTTCTTTCTGTTTCACTCAGCTCATTTCATGCCTGTAGACATGGGGCATTTCAAGACAGATATGAACCATCATAATTGGCCGCCAGAAGTCCGCAATGAGGAAAAGACCTGTTATACACGATCTATAAGAAGCAAGAGAATCTTGAGACATAATGGAAAAACCAGCAATTCCAGTGGGAAGTGTCAGCATAACAGTAAGAAACGTATTGTACCTTTCATGAAATCTCATTTGGAGGTATTAGAATTCAAAACTACAGTATACCTCCAGGGTCATTAGGAATGGCCAATGGACCAGAATAGTACCTGCATTTCAGTAGCATGCAAACTCAAGCTACCAAACATAAACAAAATAATTCTTGAAAATTCATTGCATAAAAAAGCATATATTAATCTTTTCCCAGTCAAAACTCTTCATAAAGGCAGAACATCACAGGGCTTCAAAGAAAAGTGAAAGTGAAGCAATGATGATAATACATAATACAAAATGGTGACTTGGGACAGCAGTATACTCTTGAATGATTAAGAGAGGCAATTGGAAAACAACTTTAGTTAAAAAAAAAAATAGATCTTCAGATTATCTCAATTGGAGGCATTTAAATCAAAAACTCAGATTTAATTAAGTCCCCTCTGCTTTCTCAATTTACAGGTTTATTGGTGGTGAGGGGTGAAATGATCAAAGAAGAAAACATTATCACAGGCCAGGAAGGAAGAACTCCCTTTGTAATTGCTCTGCCGTGACAGTGCCATGAATAGCTTGACATTTTTTGTTGAAAACAGAATATGCACTGAGTTCTCCAGGCTTCTGTGGTCTTGTCCTCAGGTTCCTCCATATCAGGTAAAAGATGGAACAGATGAAGAAAACAGCTCCAAACTCCAGTTTGAAGAAAATAAATTGAAGTGTTGCCCAAAGAGTGACAAGGAGAGTTCTTTCAACCCAAATCAATGCATTCTCTTTTGCACTTTTCTTTTCATTCTCTTCATCTTCAAACACATCTGGCATCACCAATGTCTCCTGCACCTTTGACAAGGAAAACATTTTTTAGATAAGAGTGCAAAACTATCATGTTCAGACAATCATCCTTCTTTTTCCTCATGATCAAGGGAATGATTTCTTTAAGGTCAATTATATTCCTATTACGAATCCAGACAGTTCAACCAGCAGAAGTGAACCTTCAAGTCCAGAGAAGGAATTACCTACAACAAACATTCAGTCAGCTTTTCAAGTTAATGCACATGAAAGTGTGATTTTGATTATAAAAAAGCCTAAAATTTCTCCAACAGCTTCATAACCCCCTTAGATGACTTCTTTACTTTTCTCAGTTTTCATGAAATCCTATGAGCTGACTTACTGGGCTTGTGATTCTTATTGCCAGTCAGTCTCATGCTATAAACAAGAGGTTTGATCCCAAGATTCCTACTAAAAACAATATGCTTTGGGAGAAAGGCAAGTCCTCACAAGAGAAAAATTTTCATGGTCTTCCTCAGGTGTGGAAGGTAGCAAAGGGTCATGAAGTGTCTCTCTCCTCTCTTCCTCCATAGAATGATGAAATCTTGAGGAGGTACTAAGGTTTAAGAGAGGTCTGAAGATATCTCTTATTTGCCTATTTTGTCTTTGTTCACCATCCCTCTGGAAAACCTTTTCTGCCCCAGTGTTGGTTTCACTCAGTTGAGCAGTTGTCCTCTTCTGAACACGATACTGTGCCAATTTCTGTTCCATTCATCAACTTCTGGAAAGAGAGGAGGAACCTTCGCATCAGACTGAATTATAATACTCTCACATTTGTAAAGGCTTCAAATATAAGGTGGATGCACTCAAGAATATACACTATATTTCCCAATGTATTGGGACAAGCCTCCCTCTGCCAACAACAGCTTTTCCCAGAAGCCAGGAGCTCTATAGAGTGTATTACAGTAGTCAAAGGTATATTCCCTAGGTACAGCAGAAGCACTCGCTGAAACACCTGTTATGTTCATTAACCTCCTGGGTGATGGCGTTTAGGTTAGACATCTGGTGGGCCTTCACCACACATTTTGCCATTCCCAATCTGTCATAATTTTTGGCCTGCCTGGTATGGGTTCCACACCAGAATGTCCCACTATATTCCATTTTGTATAATATTCCCCACACTTGACTTGTGGAAGTGTAAAGTCTTTGCAATTTCATGCAAGATCATATTTGTGATATGACAACCAACTATCATTCCACATTCAGATTCTGTCAGCTCTGATCCACACACCATACTGGCAAACACTGACTGCAACAGATTGTAGATTACTTTTATATACCTTTGGACTACTGTCATGCCTTCTACAGAGCACATGAACTCTGGGACAATCTCTTATCAGTGGAGGCAGGCTTGTCCCAATCCTTTTGATAATATAATGTACATTTTGAATCCTGAACAACTGATTTCCAAATTCCAGCATTGCTCCAATCCAAACTACACCTCTCCATGAGAATGGCAGTAACATAACTGATAGTCTTGTGTCCAAGCAGAGGCTAAGAAGTGCAGAAAGACTGCACTGGACTGCAAACCTGTGGTTGCAACCAGCCATTCCAAGGATTGCTTTTCACAACCAATTCACTCTCAAGCAACATGAGGGATCAGGAGAAAGCATACATTAACACATTCTCTGCCATAGATAACTTTAGTTGTAGAAGAAAACTAACATTAAATGTACCTACATTGAGAATACTCAATCAATTTCAAGCATAAGTTGCTCAATCAGGAAATAGATGGCTTGTCTATGGTTTGACCACATCCTTCAAGGCTCCAAAAATCTCTCCAAAAAAAAGTTTTGGAAAATACACACAAAATGCCAGGCAAATTGACTGGGAGCTTGAGAGGCAGGCAGTGAATTCATTAAACAAAGAAGCTTCAAAGCATAATACAGTAATGCAACATGCTTATTCCACAGCTCTTTATTATATGGTTAGTAGGTAGATATTGTCTTTGGCTATAGAGACCTGCTAAAGAGATCTCAAGTGCTCAGTGTACACATAACCAGGACCAGAGAAAACCACCACAATCAGAATGGAAGCACAGTTATAAGAGGTTAATTCAGAGTTGCCAGTCACTCAGCTGAGAAAGCCTGACCCTGATGACTTGTCCTCTTAGCATCTTCTACAATTTTGATCAAGCTCTGCAAGTCCTCTAGTTCTACACCCTGGATTCCAAGGGATTCCACCTGTAAGATCCAAAGAAAAAGCTAAGGTAGCTATAGACATGGAAAGAATCATGAAAGAATCAACAACAAGATGAGAACAAACCATTTGTGCAAAGGCATTAACATCAAGGCAAAGCTGAAGGCGAATCTTATCATCATCACTTAGTGGAGCATTTCCCAGAGGGGCATTAGCATTGGCAGCTCCTCCTCTGCCCTTCTCCTTTGCCTTTTTCAATCTCCTTAGGCTCTCTTCCATCTTTTGCACTGAAGTAAGCACTTCTGATGTTGCTGACAAATACCTTCAACAGCAAGCAACATGACTTCATGAAAGAGAGTTCCATAAGGAACACAAAAAGTAGAAAAATAAGTCAACAACATACTGTTTTGATATACCAAGAAGAGCCAGTTTGATCCATGATCGGAGGATCTCCGGATTCACTTCTTGTTTATGCTGGTCAAAAAACTCTTGAAGGTGTCGGAGAGAAGATGTAACATAAGTGGACGACTTGGAAGGGACTTCTCGATTTGTTCGTCGGTAGAGGCGTGGGATATCACTCACAAATCTCAGATGTCCCACACTCTGTGAGATCAGCTGGACTTCAATGATCCCTCGCAACATCTCTCCAGAACCCTCTAATGCTGCCATGCTTTCATCTAGACTTCCTATATTCAAGGTGGTTGCACCAATTATGAATGCCCTGAAATATGGTCATGCAGACAAGTAAGAGTGTCTCACTGGCAATGATATCCTCATTCTTTAGACCAAGGTCTCGAAGCTTAGGAAGAACAATTTCCTTCAAAAAGAATGGGAGGAAGTGTTCCAGAAGGAATCTAATGTCAGCCACCAAGGGCACAACTTCATCTAATGTGATGTGCTCTTCTTCTGAATATGAGCGATGGAGATGAGGCTGAGGGGAACTTTCCCGTTCTCTCTTCTGATGGAGGAGGACACTTGAACTCATACTTCGAGACATTGCCATTGATCCATGTGCTGCATCTTCCTTCAAACCCTCTTTGAATTTTATCTGGAAAAGAAATAAGCTTCCAGGTCAACTGAAATCATAATTCCCAAAAAAGCAGAGGCAATCATCAATTTAACCCTTTCAGACCTGGCATCCATTCCAATGGACATTGCATTTACATTGTGTCTATAGCAATTTCTTAGGATTCTCATGACTTTTCGCTCTATATTACACTGCAATGGGTGCAATTATGCATGGCTCAGTTCCATCAGAGGCCTTCTTTCACCCATTAGTTTTGTAATCTTCAGTTATTTAATGAAATGTAAAATATATCATATATGGTATGATATGGTAAATTTATACAAAATATAATAACTACAATAAAGCATGAAAATTTCAATTACAACCACAAAAGAGCTCAAAAATGCAAAAAAAAAAATTATTCCAATAGCGGCCTTAATTCAGGTCTGAAAGGGTTAAGAACAGGAGATAATACCTGTACTCACAGGGAGAATAACCTTGTGGAGATAAAAGACACCAATTGAACAGGAACAATGAGAAAATTCTCATTCATTAACCTTTTGAGGAGTAAGCCCATATATTTACAGGCTGAAGCGATCCTGCCCAGGGAGAAACCCACTCCTCAAAGAGGCAATCATCATCATACAGTGCAGACAATCAACTGTATATTCCAATAGATTTTATGTTCTCATTGGCCATAAATTTCATGATTCACTGTTCCACCATCTTTGTTACCTCAACTGCCACCACCTTGATTTTCAGTACATGTATTAAACTAGGAAACATGTGATTCTTAATATGGGTTACCAACACTATAAAGACAAATTCTACCCAAAATTATTAACTACATGCATTACTCTGCCTTGCACAAATAAAAGTCCAGGTAGACCTTAAATGACATTCATATATACAGGGTCGTTATGAAATCCCCATCCTATTTTGATTTACCATAACTTTTCAAGGGACTGTCATGCTGCTGATATTTGACAGAGGTTCACAAGTCCAAGAGGTTTTTTCTCATACCAAAAATCTGCCTCTGTATGCTGATGGGGGGTGCTGTAGTCGACCGCAGTGCCCCCTATCTATATGCCATACCATTTCTCAGGTAGGAAAATAAATAAATTTAAGACCCATGAGCCTCTCTGCTGCATCCAAGACCCCTGTCAAAAGAAAAACATTTAAAGGAATAGTCAGATGGTGCTGATGTCTGACAGAGATGTTCATTGGCCTAAAACTTATTTGTTCCCTTGCCTGCCACATGGCTGTACATGTAAAAAGTGGCCACTCTGGTCATGTAAGACAAAGGTAAGACACGGACAATATGTATAGGTTAAAAAAAAAGGAAAATATCTAGCATTCACACTACTACAAGATGGGCTCCATGCAGTTGTGGAAATGGATAGCAATCATTTTGAACATTTGCTACCATGATGGACAATGAACATGTTGCATATCTTGATATGTGTCAACTGAACCCCCTCCTTTAAGGTTCACCTTTGCATATGCAACCCCAGTGCCTTCTCTTGACATGTACAGCCATGTAGTGGGAGAGGGAACAGATAAGTGAGCCTCTCTGTCAAATAGCAGCAGCATCCAACTGTCCCTTGAAAAGTTATGGCCAATCAAAATAGGGTGGTGACTTTATAACAACCTTGTATATGAATGTGTAGTATATGGTCACTTCCACTTCAATTCCTAGATGACTGCCAATGAAACTTGCTACTGGACAACTTTAGGTAAGAGCACACTTGCCTCCTTGCATTGGAATAAGTATTGACTAACAAACGATTTCCAAGGTATCGACCCTACAAGTCAATGAAAGCAGGCCAGTGTGCAGTGAAGGGAAGACAGAATATAATAATTCATTGACAGCTCACCTCTTTCTTTGAGATTCCAGTCAGCCAAACATTGAAGCGTGAGAGGAGTTGAAGGCTCAGTTTCCAGAACCTGAACAATAAATGCAGGATACCATGGAATACATAGGGCAGATTCAAACTTTGTTCAACAATGGGTGACCACATGCAGGAAAAAGCAAGTACCTGTGAACCAGGGAAGGAATGTACACTCCTGCATCCCAGCATCGCAAAAGGGAAATGGAGAGAGTTTGGCTGCCATGGAGAAGAAGGCTTGATTCAGCATCATTCCCTCGAGATAAAGGCGACACACACAAAGCCTTTTCAAGTGCCCCAGAGATCTCCTGGAATCTGAAATGAAGATGAAACATAAATTACTATCATCAACATCAGTTTAACAAATTTTCTGAAATGATACCTCATCTGGAAGTAGACAGGGAGATTCCACTTATTGATGAATATCACATAGCTGGGGTGATTGCGAAGCCGAGCCACACTTGCTTGGCTTCCACATAATTGTTCAAATGTAGAGAGAAACTCCATGCTTGCCATATACCTCTGAAGGAAGCAGAATGAAAAAAGATGAGAAAATATTTACTTATATAAAAGTGGACGAGAAAGTCAGGAAGTGGTTCTATAGGCCTGAAATGTTTTTCACACGACCATACTTTGCTTTTTTCATGAATTCATGTCGTAGGACACTTGTCCCAGGGCATGCATGTACTTTGGCCTAACATACAAAGGAGCAATCTTTGTGCAAAAGTGCATAGTTGACCTCATAGTAGGAAAAGTAAGCCTTTTACCTTTAGAAAAGATGAAAGGAGAAATCAGTGATACTATTGAGAGTAGGAACAAGAGGAAATGCAACCCTTCATAAGAAGATGATTTTTTGATTTTATGAAATAGCATGAAAATACATAGTTTTGTTACCAGCCTCTCCTAAACATGATCTTTCATGATTAAACAAAACATGTTCAGTGGCATTCACATTAGATAGCTGACAGGACACTCTATAATTTTTTTAAATGTGCATTTCATTGCATAAGAAGGTTGAGTCAGTGCTCAAAAGCAGGGGGGTGTCATATATTAGGGTAACTTTCTGAATATAAATAAATTCAATCATTAACTCAATATTAGAGGGGAAAAATGATCAACTTATGAATCCAGATATGTAGGTCATTTTTCCTTCTATCATTGAGTAAATAACATCAAAGTCAAGTGTCTGCCATTTTCATTTTGTCTTCTATGTAGGAACCAAATCATTTTGTTACACCCTATATCAGGGTTTCCCAAGCTTTTTCACACGTGACCCCAAAAATAACAATAATATCATTCAGGACCCCAAGCCCTGGCTGAAGGTCAACAGGCTCTCCCACCTATGCACTAAAATCACAAATAAAAGCACAACTTGGCTTTTAGTTGCCAATTTGTGATCCCAAATGGGGTTGCGACGCATAGGTTGGGAAGCCCTGCCCTATGTGTTATTCTTAAACATGCAGGTATTCAGACAAGTTTCTTATTTCCATAACCCACATTCATAAAGAAAACAAAAAAGGCATGAAAAACATTGAGGATTGCCGTTACAGACGTACATCATAAAATGAAGAAGGATGTCCAACAGCAAAGAGAGAGGGGGTATGCTTCTCCAGGGCATGAACCACCTCAGGCCAAACTGAGTTCACTATGAAATCAAAGCCTTGCACTGCTTCTCCACTGAATGAATCAAATGTAAGAAACAAAACCAATTATCACAGGCCACATCTTAGCTGTGAGGCCATAAGTCATGCTTTGTGAAATTTGCAACATTTTATATGATGTTCAAAGGAATTATTAACCATTTTGTGTATGGTGCCCACTGTAGCAGATGGCAAAATTTTTAGCATGATGATCGTTTTTCAGCCATGGTACACATGCCTCGAAACTTTTGGTACATGCAGTCAACTCCAGGGCACATAATCTGGTCAGTGTAACATTGGACTACTACAGCAGAGTATCTCCTCAGAAGAATTCAGAGCTCAAAATTGTGATCTGGGATTAAGTTTATGTATTAGGGGTACCAGAAAGTAATGTCGATTTTTTGTATACCAAATGTAAATGCTATTTATTATGTGTTTTCATTTGTTTTGAAATGAATTTCATTCCTTAATCTAAAGAACCGTTATTTGTCATACATTTTTCGATAACAAAAGTTTTTTCATCTTCTTCAGCAAAAATGTCTCACCACATTCCCAAAGAGATCTAAATACAACATTTTATGCTCTATGAGTTTTGTAAGAGAAGTAAGGCAACAGAGGCAAACAAAAATATTTTTGGTGTTTATAGAGATGTATTGGATGTCTGCAAATGCCAGGGTTGGTTCAGTTAATTCCGGTAAGGTGATGTTGACCTCTCGGATGACCATCATTCAAGAAGACCGGTAGAGCTGAAGAACAATCTCCTGAGGTCGGAGGTTGAGTCAGACCCCGGTCAAACCATCCAACAATCAGCAGAAAACTTAATTCTTCGTGGTCTAGTGTTCAAGAACACCTTCAACAGATCAGGAAGGTTAATAGACAAGGTGTTTGGGTCTCACACCAACTTTCGGCCCAAAGCGTTTTTTAGCTAGAGAATAATAGAGTCTGGAGGAAGCACCTAAGTGACTGGGGGTGAAAATTGATTTTTCCTACTACCATAACAACAAAGGGGGTTTACCTTCTTCAATTTATGCAATTTGCATTAATTTCAAGGGAAATTAAAAGCACAAGATGGATGAAGGTGTGCCTTACTCACCTTTGCATGCTGTAGGCACTTTCATGAAGAATGGTACATTTGGTAGGTATGAACTCAAGGATTTGGGAAAACATTCCAGTGAGGCCATGTGGTTCTTGATGCAGATTACCTTCTGATATTACTCCTTTCATGTAAGGCTCAACAACACGTGATCGGAACAACAACTCCAACTGTGGAATGCGATCAATGGTCGCATGGATGCGTAAACAACGACCCAAGGATTTCACATCCCTCTTCTCAAGGCTTTCCAGAAATCCTTGCTCAAGACTTGCTTGTAGGACATTCCCAATCAAGGAAATTCTCTGGTGGCAAAAAAAAATAATTGTGAAGAACTAGAACAGAATCCATTAAGAGGAGAAGATTGAAACTCACAGGTTTCAAGTCCCGAATGACAGAAATCCCTTCAGTTTTTGAAACATAGAAATGCAACTGGTTGAGTTCAGATGCAACTCGTTCAACAAGATCTCCAGGAACTTCTTGTTGTACATCACCAGCAATGTTGAGGAGTTTCTCAATCTTCTCTACACCATGGATGATGTGCATTAGTCGTTCCAGCTCTGCCTTCCTCTCCCTTTTTTCTTGGCGCAGCTTCAACTCTTGCTGAACCGCTTCTATTGTTCCCTCTATCATCTGCTTGACTGCCTGGAATTTAAATAAGCACTCAGTATTAACCCTACTCTGGACTCTAATCATCTCAAGTTTCCTCAGATAGAGTAACATGCTCTCAGATACAATATTCCATGTTGACAAATTCCTGAAGTATAGTTAGTCCCTTGCCATCATTTGACAGCATATGCTGTCATGGTGGTTTTCTTAAATCCAGCAATAAAAAAATTACTTTTTGTTTTATCATTGAAAGACATTGAGTGGAAAGGTTTTGTGTTACCCTTGTATTATTGCAAAGCAGCACTGCTGCATTGATGACTTGAAAAACTATAAACATTCTGTGAAAAAATACAATGTCATGGGGTTAGGAGGCCAAATACACATCATCACCTTCCTGGAATTTACAGTCATTTGCAAATGCGAATAACAAAAGTTGAAGGATTTATAATCAATCAATCAATCATATCTCTTAATCATAGGGTTTGTAGGGAGCAAAGAAATTAGATCCATGTCACCAGTGTTTTTAAATGGTTTAGGGCTATTATTAACAAATGACCTTCAACCATCTCATTCCATGACCATCCATCCATTCAAGGTGAGGAAGAGGACTCACAAGTACTTCCCCATGAAAATTCTGCAAAGGTTTCTCCAGATTGGAAATAGATTTATCCATGCCAACTAGGTTGCTGCTCAAATTAACAAAGTCAGCATAGTCCTTGTTGATGAGTTCTATCATGGATGTGCGTAGAAGCTTGAGATATATTCCCAAATCATCCCTCAAAGTCTCCAGAGATATCCTCCCTTGATGCTTCAATATGAATTCATCCACATTGAAATCCTCCTGCAAAATACAAACATGAACAAAATACTTTAGATAATATCTATATAGAATGCACAAGTACCCAGCACAGATAATCATCATTTATATTTTCTAGCACAGGCTGCAAAAGCATCCCTCACATCTGAAAGTGGCAAAATCATGCAGTATATCATAAATGAATTTCTTACTGTTGAGATACTTGGTTCCATTATGTATGCTGGTCTTTGGACTGAGACTATAACTCATGGCAGAATATTGTAAAAAAAAAAAAAAAAAGGAAAACTCAACTTAGAAGGAAAAAAGCGAAAAATACAGATTACAATTAGGATGATTTGTCAAATACAGATATGAGGAAGAAATGCATCTATAATGAACACGAAAGATACTACAGCTGAAAGTATTACAAATAAAATAACAATGCCTACCTGATTTTGAAAAACATGGATCTTTGAAAGAGGCCTACTCAGACATCTTTTCTTGGTCTTCGGCAAGAAATACATGCAATGTATCCTGGCCTAGCTCTAGCCTAAATTTACAAATGAATTCATACCACTTTCAATGTGTATTCCATACCCATAGCAAATATACCTTCCATTCCTTGGATACTTGAAGTAACATTGGACAATGCAAAAAGTGGAACACACTTATTTGCAAATTACTGTATAGGTAGGACCCAAACAATACTCAAGCCTACGCATTCAGTTAAATAATCCGATGGACCTGGTGGTAGACAAAAAAAATCAATTTAATACATAACGGGTGCACCAATTCAATCAAATGACCCGACCAAAGCCCTACAGTATAAGGCATAACATGACAGTTCGTACCTTGAGAAATTCCTCCTTATGGAAGCTCAGAGGAGAATGTAAAACAGGTGAAAGCACTTTTCCTGATCCAACTCCAAGGTGTTCCTCCATCGTAGATCTAGCCTGGAACACCTAGAATTTATCGGATATGAGGGGTGGGGCTAGACTCTCGCGCTCAATCTGCTCTTTCCCCTGCCGTAGGGATGCGGTCGAAGTCCGCAGAATCCACGTGGCCAAAGAACAAGGGCTCGTGGAAAGAGCCATGTAGGACGATGACGTAATGGAGAAGCCATGCGCAAACACAAAAAATGATTCGGGCGTGACCGCTACACCTGACATATCCTGCACAGCGTTTTTTCAAATCATTTCAAGTCCTGCTTTACTTGGCATGTGGAGGGTGGTTCATAAGTATGTTACCGCTATACTTGCAGGGAGAGAAGCACACGCTCTGCTAGAAAGTCAATTACTCGGTCGAAAAGAGCGCCTATACCCCTTCAGACTTGGTTCGAATTCTCGAAATGCTCGAAATACAGTACGAAGGCCCGAATGTTTAAACCTCCTTTAGTTAATGGTCTTGTAAGAATAGATGGATTCCCATGGGGAGAAAATAGCTCTTTAGCTTAAAGGCTCCTTTATCTCCCTTAAATGAGGTTTGTGCATACGGGCCAAATTGTTTTCAGAGATGTATCGACCATAAAATTCGGCATCCAAGAGCAAACGCACTCACCCATCGTAACGCGATGACGCAGCATCCTCTTCAAAGAGTATGGTACGTCCCATTCTGCAACGAATCGCAACAGTTTATGCATTTTGTAGGGGAAAAGTTCGAAAGATAGAGAAGAGACGTTAAGAAGCATTTTCGCCATTACAACGTCCCGAGTCAAAAGATGCTCTTTAGAAAGGTGTCAGGGCATATTCTAAGAAAAAAGTCAGAACCGCACTTATTATTATAACCCTTCTGAAGAAGTAGTTGATTCAGTGCTGAACCCCCCCCCCCCCCCTCCCCCCCTCTTCCCAGCGCGGCACGCGAAAATTTGAGAAGAAAAATTAGATTTAGTACCATTTTAGTCAAAATTTTGGTTTAAAAAAAATGTAATTATTGCCCAGTTTTGAACTGCGCAAGTTCAATTTCAGAATTACACATATCTTTTACAACTGCACATTAAAATATGCCCTGAATGGTGTAGTTTATCTTGGAAAGCTCCTCACCATGAAAACATAATAGTAACACTCTAACGTATCACCATGTGTAAAGTATTCACTCTTTGACAGGTGAGGAGAGTGGGAGGGGGGTTAGTAAACAAAAAAGAAACAAGAAGAAAGGGCATGCAGCAGACAGGATAAAAAGAAGGAAAAGAAGCAAAAACAAAAAAAGTGTACAATAGAGAGGGGGAAAGATACCCAGCAAACAATTTTAAACACATAACGTTGAATCAACATTGAATAAACGTTTGTAACGTTGTAAAACGTTGGTCCGACGTTGCCTTGTTTGCTGGGTAATGAAATGATAGAAAGAAAAGGGTACGCAACAGAATGCCTTCTTAGTACCAAAAAGTCCAGTCCATAGTCTTCTGATGCCCGGATAAAAGGAATTTGCACCAAATACTTGTATGGTTGGAATTGTTCGTATTGCTAACGTCTAGGAGGTACACAATCGAGTGGTGAAGCTCAGATAAGTGAAAATTTATAACAGTAAGAGGTATTAAAGGCCATTTTTGTGAGACGTGAGATCAAGGGCCGATTGCATGAACGATATTTATTTTAGACATTGATTATCGATAGTCATTGTTTAAGCACTGCCTGGAAACGACACCTTTTTCAGCTTCTGTTGGATGTCGGTTAGACAATGGTTACAGGGAGAGAGCGTTCATGCAATCCATTTTTGGCCTTAGACATCGGTTAACCGATAACTTTTGCAAAACACCAGGAAAACACCCAGCAAACAATTTGAAACACATAACGTTGAATCAACGTTAAAGCAACATTGAATCGACGTTCGTAACGTTATACCAACGTTGGTCCAACGTACCCTTGTTTGCTGGGCAGCGTTCATGCAATCGGCCCTTAATGTTCGCAAACGAGAATATGGGTTCTTTTTCGATATACTGTATACAGTAGACCACGTGACTTTTCTTTGGATTCTTTCTCATTTTGAGCTGTTGGAGCAACTGAATGGGTACCTATCTAATGTACAATAATCAAGATGTAGCTAAATTAACAAGCAATAAGCTTCCATTAAACGCTAAAATTACCGTATTATGCCAGAAAGTATGGGTTTTTACGCATTTGGGCATTGCTTGTCGAAATTTCGTGATAGAGTGATGGAAATAGTCTTACCTAATTGTTTATGAGAATTCTGGAGAGCACGTGGGCTTCTTGCAAGTCTATAATGTGTTGGGGTGGCGTGGGTTAGGGTCAGTTTTGTATTTCTGCAATATGATGGACTGTGTTTTGTTAATGTTAGGTTCCATGTAATTACTGTCATGCCGATGCGAGATTCAAAGTCAGAGGTTTTGTAAGAGGTTTTGCGTCTACGTTTGTCTTTATGAAAGACACAAGAGCTTGATGCTGAAAGAGGCAAGAGCAGGAGGCGACGTAGAGAAGCAAGTCAATTCATATACAGAAGAAAGAAGATTGTTGATCCTTGGGGGCTCCATGCATTGTGAGGAGAGAGAGATGGTTTTGGCGATAATCTTCCTCTTCCCTGCTTGGCAGGATTGTACTCGCTGCATCTCCTCTTATCTCATGCATTCATTCGAGATATATTTTGGAAGTGTTGGGCCATTCTGATGGCAAGAACATTTTTTATTTAATTGCAGAAACATTTGAGGCCAGAGAAATAGGTCTGTAATTCTCGACATCTGGTTTAGTCTTTTTTGTTTTCAGGAATCATTTTAGAAGCTGAGAAGAATTAATTCGTTTTGGCAAATTGAGAAATTGCTTGGTGAACTTCTGCTTCACAGATGCTTTGATTTGTCACTAACAATTCTTCTGGCCCAATGAATGTCGGGATATGATTTATAGATATGGCTTGAGAGAACCTCTGAAAGTTTACTGTACTTTCACGTTAATGGCTAAACTGTACCCGTATTTTTTCACTATAAATTTTACATTAAATTGAATTTTAAATTCGAACGCTGGAACCTCATTTCGACGAGATGAAAAGGGCAAGAGCTAAAAATCTCTTTTGGGATGCATGGATTCATGAAGGATCGTAAACTTATGGAGGTTTCAGCCTTCGGCCTTGCTTTTTTTGCGACCCCTTATCCAACTGCCGAGATGCTTCATAAATACCTCGAGCACAGTATTATCGTTGGTCACGCGTGTCCGGCAGGATCCACTTACATGGGTGAGAGTTAAAGATACCACGAACGACGATAGTCCATCAGGGTTGTCACATGAACACTTGGAAGGGACATTCTTACGAATACATTCCAAGTCGTTGTCGCTAATATTGTATATCCCGAGGCTTAGAGCAAAGGAAACAGGGGATATGATAGAAAAGGGATTTCGGAAGATACAAACCCTTCCCCTGAACAATAGACATTTAGTCGATACGTCCTTGGCTCTTTAAGTTATTGCTTTCTGGGCGAGATGTCTGACCATGAAGGCACTTGAACTCGATAAAATGCCCACTCGATCATTCATGCACGCGCGGCAACTATGGTCAATCCGAAGCACAATATCTAGTCTTTCCATCGTCCTTGTTCCCTTTACTCTGAACGCCCAACGAGCTGACGGGTCCGAGCAGAAGGATGATCGGCACTCAGATGGACATTAAGGAATACATTATCTTGAAACAGTCGTAGATGTTTTCTTCATAAATTTAGCAGAGTGATTATGTTTAAATTCCCCTCGCTTCCTTATTAGATCTAACATCTTCAAGGAAATAAGACCGGAGAACACCAGCTCTGCCCAGTGACGGCTCGTGATCTGTAGCAGTGGCAGTTCGTCAGATGACAGCTTTCCGTTTCCCTACACCTGGAACGCATGTGCACTCCTCTGCATATATTTATCTCTCTGTCCTCTCCTCTATATGTTGCTCTTCCATCCCGATACTACTCATGATTATAGTCGTCTCGAAATTAAGCCATTGAGGTCTAAGGACGTTCCGAGACGGGGTGGAGACGCTCTGTAGGAGTCCAAAGCAGGCCAGGTTAGAAGAGTAGATAAGGTTGGGTCGAAAGCGAAGCCCCGAATAATGGCGGTTCTAGCCCTAGGGCAAATGACGTCACTGGTATACATCTGCCCGACTGCTCTATTCTCGCCATTTGTTTTCCTCCGATGTGATGATATCATTTGAAGCATAATGTCCACATTTCGTAACCAATCGCTCTTTAAAAAAAATATCCCTTGGGGAATGCATCGAATGGGAAAGAGGCGGGGAGGATTTCGTACGGAAAAGTTTGAGGGGAATGCGACTGTAGTGAGAATATATCGGTAGGTCACACCTCATACGATTACCCTATTATTTACGGAAATTGTTAACATGTGTCATTTGCCCTTTTGAAACGGCAATGAAAATATGCGTTCATCGTCACACTTCTTCGTTCTGTGTTGCTCTATCCCAAAATCTGAGGAAAGGAGCTCGTTTGTCATGGTCAGGGCAAATCGCGTGATTTTCACGAATACCATCAAGATGTTCCTTCTCGCAAACTTCAACGATAGGCTTCCGTTCATCACTTAGGTCTTTAACTACCCGAGTTCCTTTGAAACGATGAAAGGAACATTTCTCTCCGTAGGCTCCAAAATCATCAGATGTTCTTGCAGCTTCTGCGGAACCGCCGGTAACGCACGGCCAGGATCGAGACGCGTACGGCAGCGAGTTCGGCGTGACCTCGCTCGTGTCGTGGCGACTTCATTTTTACGGAAGGAACTGCCGGGTGTCGGGCCGGACGGAAGGTCATCGAGGTCACCGAGGTCATCGGGGCCTCGACGTGCATTCGAGGACGTCCGACGACGGATCGTCGTCCTTTCGAGTCCCTCTGTCGAACGTCCGATGGTCGTCCGAAGACGGACGCGATGTCGAAGTTCGAATGGAATCGTGCACCGGGGTCCGATGAAAAATTCGCTCTATCGATACGATGGTTCGAGTTACTGGGTTTCGGCCCGAGATGAGAGATTTCAGAGAAATAAATACGACTCCAGAAATCCTCGGATCGTACGCTCGTATCGCCGTTTCACGAGACCTCGTTCGACGAAACGGAAAGGACCGAGGGACCGTGGGGAAATCGTGCCCGGACGAGGCTCGGAACGAACGCGAAGATCCGCGGCGGCGACGTCCGACGGACGTCTATCGGACGACCGGATCGAGGTCGAAGAGACTAGGCGTGGATCCCGCACGACGGGATGCTTCGCACGTCCGGCGCCTCCCGCCGGATCCATCCGATCCGCCGTCGAAAGGGGGAGTGGATCCGGCGGGGGCAAGGACGCGAGCGGATGCGATCCTTTCGCGGAGGTTCATTTCCTCGGGATCGATGAGAAAAAAAAAGTTTTTTTTTTTCCGGCTTCCTGCGGTCTTACGAATCCTCGAAATTCGGGGGCAGAATCGAACGGAGGGGAGACGACCGAACTCGGGTGAGACGCGTCCACTCCCTGCCTCGATGTCGACCGGTTTCGTCCGAAAGAGGAGCCGCCGGTCCGTCGTTTCGCGCGAACATCGCGTTCGAGGACGACGATGAGGTACTTCTCGTTCGTGTTGTCCAAAAATGTTAGCATTTTTTATCGCCCGCATCGGAACGTCGAGTCGGTCGACGGTCGTTCGTCTCGGGCCCGCAAGGAAACGGAACGCACGAAGTCGGTTTCGTATCGATGCGACCGATCGCTCCTGTTCGATTCTCTTTCTTGGAACTTGGAAATCGGTGACCGAAACATACATCGAACGGGAACGATGGAAGGTTTTCCTCAGCTTTCAAGAATCACCCATCTTAAAGATGGCATCGATGCTCGTGCAGTTCCACCGTGACACGGTCATGTCGATCACCGGGAAACAAAGGAAGAAACCTAGGAAATGCAAACGGATCCCCGGGATATTCCTCACACAGCAACGTTAATATAAACATCAGAGACAAGCTTGTAAACTTGGCATGCACGGATCATCACGGATGACGTTTCTTTCATCGGATATATTCTCTTGCCTCCTTGCATGCAGGGCCGGACTCAGGTATGCGCCACATGTGCCCAGAGCGCAAATTCACCTGGGGCGCCAAAACGTGCCAGAATAAAGCGGTAATGAGTGCCACTTTCAATTTTACTTCAGAAAGTGGAAATGCCTTCAGTTTCCGCGTCTTTCTGGACGCTAGGGATTATCCCTTTTCCTTTCTGAGGGGTGAGGGGCTTTGATAGTCTCTTAGCACAGGGCGCCGAAACAGCTTGGGCCGGCCCTGCTTGCATGCAACAAAGACATAAACTAGCAAGCTGGGCGAGCCCAGTCCAGTAGTGGGCCTCCTTTCATTTTTGGTGACTTGCATTTTGTCACCTAATTGAAAATTGCCAACTCTTTCCTGTCCTCGGCCATCAAAAACCTCATTTTTCATTTATATTTGGTAAACATAGACAAACGGTGCCCATGAAATGATGATGGGAGGATGGAGGGTTGTGCGTTCTTGGAACCATCCACCACATAAGTTGGTAAGGAACTGACAGCTCTGGCACTGGTTGCTGACGTGGCACCGCGCCCAAGGTCTGGCTCGTATGCGCATGCGCATTGTGATCCAGATCCCGAAGGGCTCTCGATTATTCATGCCTTCCCCTCCGTTAGCAAATTTCAATTCCAAAATTTGCAATGAAAATGCCAAATTTTGGTGCAAATTCGCCACAAAACGAGCTCAGCCCGTATCTTGTTCATAACTACCCGTTTGAAAATTTTCGCATTGATCAGGCCAATATTAGTAGGCCTCCTTTCCTGAAAGGAAAGAGACCATTTAAGAGCGTTTCACACTTAGCGTGTCAAGCGTCCTTTGCGTCAATGCTGAGGCAGGTAGGCAGACGTACGCGTGCACACGCATATCCACTTACATCGAAGGTTTTCACAAAACGCAAGGCTTGCGTTTTCAATAGAGTTCGTCCCAATTCCACTCGCAAGCCTTGCGTTTGAGAAAATATTACAATACGTGGGGAGGTCGGAAAGTTC